TTCTTCTTTATCGCTGACCGATGCAGTAAGAACATCGCTGCAGTGAACTGCAGCGCAGTGCGGCTTGTGACGGTTGTTCCTCGGCCGTTCTCCGGCCCGGCGAGGTGGTCCCATGTGGAGCCCTGTAAACACTCCGTGACGGACTGGTGCCTCGCCACGGGCCACCCACCGGCCGGCCGTCACGAGCGAGAGCCAACTCATCAGTGACGGAGAAATACGGCCGAGAGCCGCCGCCGCCCGTATGTACGGTGCCGCTCAGCCGACCGACCGCGGGACCCAGCGGCGCTGGCTGGAGGCCTGAAGGGGCACATAGACGGGGAGGCGGGTGATGACTATAACGGGGTGGGCGTGGTCACTGATCAGGGAGGTGGGGAGACGGGAAATGGAGAAAGACTGGTGGGGGGATGAATGGGAGGTGGGCGTGGTCAAGGAACCTGGACGTCAAGATGGAGAATGAAGGTAGAAAACCAAGCGAGATGAAAAGAGATACGCGTGAAGGAAGAGGGAGCTTGGTCGGCCCGGTGGGTTCATGCTCGTTGCCCGGTCCGCTCCTGTCTCTCCGCCGGCTCCCACCAACTTCCAGTTGTAGCGCTCGTGTGTGACGATAAGACAAGCTTCTTTTTACCCACGCCCGCCCTTCGAGAGAGCGCTTTTTCGGTGCCGGCGCCTATAAAGCACCGCCAATCAGCTTTCACATCTGAGTGGGTCCGAGAGGGGCGTGACCCGGCCCGGCGGGGTGTATCGCACGCGCCGAGGTCGTGACCCCGTCTGATAGGCGGGCCACGCCTCCCAGCTCTGCCGGCTGCAGGAGTCTCCTTCTTACAGCGGAGAGACGGTGGGTCGCGGCGGCCGGAGACGGAGCGGTTTGTTTATGGTCACGTGCCCGTGGAACCGGCTGGGGGGGGGGGGATAGTGGCGGGACTGATGCTCCCTCAATGAACTGCAGACTGGTTTTCGGGCTCTGCACGGGGGGTGGACATATAATATTCACGCTTAGTTCCCCCTTTCGAAGCATCCGCAGACACGGCTCAGTTGCTTGTTTTGCGGTACAGCATACCTTCAGGCGCTCGCTACTGCTGCCATCTAGTGTTGAACTTGTAAGCTATTGCTGAAAGCTCACAATGCCACGTTATATTCAAGTACAATTTCTTTTCTACATCAGTTTGGTTCTTTGCCTCTAGGCTCTATACATTTACTAGCAAATGCTGACTAGACCTGAACACTAATTTAAAACGTCTTTGTCAAATCTGACTTAGCCGCTTACCTAGAGAGGCTCCCCATTACTGCCATACAAGGAGAGATTACATTTACTTCCCGAATAAATCACCGTCGTAGAGCCAGTATTCTCCATTTAAAGTGTCAAGCATACAATGCCAGCGTCCCAATCCATTTTAGCATGGTCACTTGTGGGAAGTCAATGGCTGTGCTGCGGTTGATTCGCGTTGTTCACGGTGCTGTGAGTCGCTGACCTCTGAGGGGAGGAGCTGGCGATGGCTGAGGTATGACATACAGCGTCTGTCAGTGCGCTACTGCTGCGGTCACCCCTCACCGTACCCGCCAACGACCGCGGCCAGCTCGTAACGAACCCGCTAACAAATGCCGCCCAGAAATGACCTGTCGCTGTTGTAAATGGGCGCCGTTTTGAATCGTCATCGAACGTACAAACAAGCAAGCCTGCACGCGCGGAAAGGAATGGAACTCCAAAAATAGATTTACGAGCAGATTATTTTGATAAATAAACCCGGCAGCATGTTTATGTTATTTTGCGAATTCAAGATTTGTTATTAATTGTTCCATTGTGGGACGCTCTACTGTCCGGATTCGCCTCAACAGGCAGCTATGTAGGTATCTGTTTGCAGTACCGTGCAGGATCAAGTCGGTTCACCACCACCGCGAGATCTATGCCGAGTACCGGCCTATTCCAGGTCTCTGTTTGAGGACACCAGAGGACTACCCTCTGTTGTCAGTGTGCTCTTGTCTTGCTTACAGTACACAGGTTACCCATGCACGGTAGGGATGTGGGACGATGCTTTGCCCGTCCCACCTAGTAAGAGAGCGTCAGCGTTCCGTCGGCCAGCCATACGGCCGTGCTCTTGTTCGGTCCAGTTGGCGTTTTTATGAAGGTAGCCCGTGTTCGTGTTTTCCCGTTATTTAGATAAAATCTCGATTATACCCACATGCCTTGTGGAGCGGAGCGTCTTGTTGCTGCTATCGTCTCGGTTCTCGACATAGGCCATTTATCTTGAACCGACTGGATCCCTCCCGTTTGTGTTATATGGGCCGCCAGATCGGAACCATTTGTCTGTGTCCCGGTGGCCAATGGTGAGCTGTTTCTCATAATTATAAACCCACCGCAGTGTGCGTCCCTGGAATAGTTTAAGTTTGTATCATCCCGGGGGCCGATCAGCCAGCTCAGGGCTGCCGCTCGTGACCTGCACCGGTCTAATTGGCGCTGAGTCATGAGGCTCGCGTGCGCTGACATCACTCTGCTGGCTTCTCGGTGCCTCCCTACACGTGTTCGGTGCACCAATGGCCGCCCGCGACCGCCACCGGACGCCGAGTTACGCGGATCCCGGCACTGATTTACGCGGATTCCGGCTTTGAGTTACGCGGATCCAGACACCGAGTTACGCGGCCCCGCCTCGCTGACCGGCCGCATACCGGGATGTGTGGCGACGTGACCATTCAGGCGGAATTAGGACGGAATCGAGACGGGATCTGGGCGGGTTCCGGTCATTGGGTGCCTGCTATCTGGACAAGCAGCTCCCGTGAGACAGGTGCCGCCCACGGATGCACCGTGCTGCTCCGATAGGCCGCGGTGGTGGCGCAAACAGGCACGAAACGTGTTCCTGAGACAGCCAGACAGATACGACCAACACCTAAACACGCCTTAACATTCCAGCCCCCTGCTCAAAATGTCATCAACCAGTTCATGAGGAGCGTCACATGTCAGATGACACTGCAGTATTATTAGCCCTGTGTGGCTGAATTTGATAGCTGGACAATGACTTTGTGGGCGCGTTAACGGTTGACCTGGAAAGCAGTGCATAGCGTTTTTCCGCATGATTGCAAGCTTACTTGCAGGCTGATGCTCAAAACAGCTCCGTCAGTTGCACTACGAGTGCATGTAGGACATTAGGACAGCTGCCACCGGAAAGATACCTGACCTTCTGGTGACCTAGTCGAAGGTGCGTTGTTTACTAGGCAAGCGAAGCCAGGCGTGAAGCCTCACAGTAGCGTAATGCCCCGATGTCTCGGTGCGTAGGCCGCATTTCAAGGTAACCTCTGCATCAAACGGTACACGGGTATGGGTGCCGGGCTGTGGAGCTGTGTGGAGCGGGCGCTAGGCGCGGCTGTTGAACCTTATGGGTGGGAGGTGCCGCACTCAGTCTCTCCAGTCATCCACTCGGCAGGGGAGCGGGCTCCTCTATAGGCACTGTGTTTTGTCGCTCCCCTTACAGGGGTTTTCCATTTCGCCGGGATGTGCACTTGAGGGAAGAGAGAATGTTTGGCGGATGCTCAAGGATGACTGTTACGGTTCTGTTGTGGCCGGAAACCGCGAGTTCACGCAGGTAATAGACCACACGTCACAACCGAAGGTCTTCCACAGTGCGTGAAATCAATGCTAAGGGTGGCAAAAAGAGTGGCTTCCCCCAAAAATGCATCGTCGTCTCTTTGTATAATGTGTCTGTTGCCCACTTTGTTGCTGGGTAGAAATTCCAATCTTCAGCGCCATCGTCAGTTGTCATTCACGGTGAGCACCATATCAGGCACAATTAGTGAAATCCGGACCGCGATGCGTCGATAAGAAGTCCGTTTAATGGCGCGCGCGCTGGTTTGTTCGGCACCGATAAATCAATTGGTGTCGCGATCGCAGTCAGCTGCACGCGACGTGCCATGGTTGTCTTCGTTAGCCCACCGATACGGCGGCCCTGGTCTCTGCCGCCCCGGCCCGCGCCACTGCGGTCACGCCGACAGTGTATGGCGTCTCGGAGCGGGCCCATGGCGCGAGCGAGGCAGCTGCGTGGTGCGTGCTCTTTCCTGTGACCTTTCCTGTGGCGTGTCGCCCTCGTGTCGGCCGGATGTCAGCACATGGCGGTCCGGTACGGGTCGAGGAAAGTCCAGCGGCGCCTGACTGCGAGTTCTGGGAACGTCCAGTAGTTGGTGGGCGGCTTAGAGTGGCCGAGCTCGCCCTGTCAGTTCTGCAGTGATTTGTAGAGTTACGAGAATGATACCGCGGTAGTTATTGGTGGTTAGGTATGTAGCTTCTTTGGGAGCATGATAGTATTGTGTGCGCTGCCACCAGGCAGCCTGTCGCCTGTTGCTTTGTTTATGAACCCTCACGGCGCTCAGATGTCGACAATCAAAGCCGGTAATGGCAATAGACCAGCTCAGCCACGCAATGTCACTCAACTGCTCCCATGAGTCACGACCGATGTGATATGTTTGTTTGTGTGGACCCATTGATAGATCTCTATTGGCGGTCGGGTTTTTCGTTACTGTATCTCTTACATATTTCATGCCTCGCTCGTCACGAAAGGGTTGCCTTGAGGAGCATTAGTCACCAGTAAAGACCTGTCGCTGAACGGAGCCCGTGTCTGAGGTAAATATCCGGGATCCAGAACCCAAGGCCGGGCGGCGGCCCGTGTCGCCGGGTACCCTGTGCCGACCGGCGGGCCGGGTCAGCGTTCAGTCCACAGACGGGTGTTTTATCGACCCAAACCGCCCGTAAATCGGCCGATTTTCCGTAGATAGCGGCGGTTGAGCCAATACACCGCGGCGACTCTCTGTGCTATCTGTCACATTCCGGCGTCGGCGGCGCGGCTTTGTCGCTATCGACGGCCGGCGCTTTGTCGGGTAATGGTGACGGCCGGCGGCCGGTGACGGCGGACCGTTTCGGGGACGTGGTGGCGGTTTTTAGGGCGATGGCGCTGCGCGCCGCGTGGGTCATTGCTGCCAGTGACGGTGATGGTGACGGTATCTGTGTGTGCCCGTTTCAGAGGCGCGGCTCCACCGGCGTAGTGCACCGGAGGCAGGTACGGGTGAGATGGTATCGTCCCCATAGCTGGCGGCCGCCCGCCGCGCCCCTCTGTAACCGTGACGTTTTTTGTGCAGCGCCATGTTTGTCTGGAGGGGCGCCCGTAACCACCCGGTGTCCGTTACATCTAATTAGCGTCCAATGGTTGTCCTTTTGTCGTGGCGATGTCCGTTTGCTTCTAGCGCCTTTTTAGACCAGCCTAGCAGCCTGCTTTTGCGACTTGTTTTAGCGTCCTGCTATGTTTGAAGCCTGCCCTCTGGGTTTTCGTTGCATGCTGGGAACTTTGTGTTTGTCACAGACCTCCACTCTCCCCAGTCACATTATCTCCGTAACCCGATATTCCATTCACACGGGCTCTGCAAGCATGTTGCAGGTCATGAATGATGACACTAAAGCCGGTTCGATTGGTTTGTCCTCGCAGCTGGAAGGGTGATTTCATCATCTGGCAAATCTATGACGTTTTATGGCGATGGGCTTCAGCGAAAGCTGAGTGCCGATCCACTGGAATACCGGTCGTTTATGAGTGCTGTTGTTTAGAGGTTAGGATGTTCTCTCCCACCGCCTTAGTGCAGCGACTGCTAGGATCTTCCCCGCTGGATTTAGGCATATATCTACCAGTACCTGCATGTGAACGTCTTTCACACTCAGTACACTAAGCTTTCTTTTCTTTTCTTTTTTACTTTCCAACGAAGCCTTTTTCCTGTTCTTGTCAATGTGTAAGTCTTCCGCTGGCTGAATCCAGAGTGATTTCTGGACTTCTTTTTAGCTTTTACAGATGATGCTTCCTGTCATGATCATTAGAGTTCAGCCTTGAGAAGTCCGTGGCTTATCCCTTTCCCTGTGCCACCCGGCTGCATGCAATGTAAACACGCCAGTAACTTAATACGGCCTATGGAAATGTGTCGCAACCGTCCCACGGCGCCGCCGCTGCCAGCGACAGCCGGTAATTAGACGAGTTATCCCTTTCCCGATCCTGCACCGTCTTAGTCTGAAATACTCGGTAACCTGATTTCCGACATACGAGCGGTGCTTTGGTCACATGATGTCACGAATAGGTCCACGAATCGGCCATTTCTAGCTGTCATACCCTCTACCGGTGATGTTATTAATCGGTAAAAAAGTATCGACATGCTTGCATTCTATCTAAATGCTACTGAATTGTACAGTTTAAATCGTGTATGAATAGCTTGTCAGTTCCCTTTAACTTTTTTACCATATCATGTCCTCCGTTTGACGTAAAACGGCTTAATTCTTGCAGCGGCTGGGTAACAAAGGCGCTCGCTCGGTTCGCTCAAGACCCAGCGTTGCAGTCACTGGTCGCTATTCCGTCGCTCCTCTGCTCCGATGCCTACTCCCTATAGCGCCCTGATCAGCTCGGCCGTCAGGACTCCATCAGCTCCGGTGTAGGTTCTGGCGTGTTCGCAGCACCCACATCACGCTTTCTCTCGTGTATCCTTGATAAGCCGTGTCGGCATCTCTCCGGAGCAGCTGGCAGCCGGCCCCGACAGACGGCCCCGATCGCGGCTCCAGCACTGGGTCACGGCAACGGTACCTACCCGTCACAACACTGGCGCGGCCGGTCAGACACGCCGTGACCCGGCGCCGTGGACCGTGACCTGCCCGGGTCACGGTCTGCCTCCGTGCTGCCTCATACCTGCTGCAGGTGCTCTCTCGCTCCGGGATGTCCCGCCTCTCTCTGCCCTGCTCTCTCCACTCCAACCCTCCCCTCCCTCCGTCATTCTGCTGTCTGTAGCCGCTCCAGCAGCCGCCTGGGCCGCGCCACTCCTGCTGAGTGTGTTTGGCTGCAGTGTGCAGCGTGCACGCCGCCCGGTACGCCGCAGACCGGTGTACCGAGTGGTCGCGCCGCGCCGGACCGGTCAGGGCGGCCGGTCCACTCCCCGCAGTTGGCGGCGGCCGGCCAGGTGGGGAGCACGGCCGCACCGCGGTCCGGACGCCGGGGCTCTCTGTGCCAGCTCCGCGGCCGGTGGGGACTAGCTGTGGCGTTTGTCCAGTGGTGTGCCTGTGTTTTAGTGCGTGCTGAGGGGGGCGTTGTGAGTGTGTGAGTGTGTAGTCACTAGCGTGAACAGCCGTGGATGGCAGGCGGTCGAGAGAGCGGGAAGATGGCCACCGACAGGTCGGCTGTCTGCGTCAGTCGAAAGACTGCGACCACTGAGACGTCAACACTCAACAGCCCACCTTTCCTCTCTCCTTCCTTCCCCGTCCCCGCTGTGACAGGACCGGTAGTGGCGATACACTCAGTGGAACCGTCATCCTCTGATAGCGTAGCGCTGACCTCTGGAGGCCGTCTGCCGCGCTCCGTGGCATTTCCGGCCAGGCGGCGATTCCTGGTGCCCCGGCCAGTCGGCGGCTGCTCCCTGGTATGTGGGAGAACCGGGGTAACTGCAGGGCACAGCCAGCTCGGTGATCTGCTCCCGGTATGTGGGAACGGTGATTACTTCAGGGTGGGTGATTACTGATAGGATGCACTTCCCTTAGTGAGACAAGTCGCCACTCTTCTGGGATGCATGCATTTTGCTGGACGTGCACGTTTCGTCAGGCTGTGCCTGTTGGTAGGTTTACAGCAATTCATGTTGGAACAGGATCATACTGGTGCTTTTGTCAGGCATGGCACATGGTTCCTCAGAGTAAGACCAACTTTATTCAGATTGAGCCTTTGTTTGGCTAAACTTAGCCTATTCTCCACCGCGAAGGCCATCCTGGTCTCTCATGGAGATAGTGAAATCACGTATGTTTCCATATTTGGAATAATCCTGTTCCACAATCTGATGAGGTTTCGTGTAGCCCGATTTCTGATTTACTTTTCCAAATACCATATGGATATGAGTTATGACGTCTTTCGTTAACAGGAATTTCACGTTTAGATTCCGTAGGAATAGTTTTCCCGATAATCTTCGGAGCTTTTCTTGTTTTACGAGAAAGTAGGGTTACATCCCTCCCTGTGATTCTGTTCCAGTTCCTCGAACTACTCTCGGCCATAACTCGAGCTCACAACTGATCAGATAGGTATGTGGTTAGTACTATTCGATGCATTGTTCGATACTACCGAACAGCGCCGAGGAACGCCGTAAATCTGGATGACCCGCCCTCCCATCGTTATGGCCTGCTACCGGGTACCGTCCCCGCTGAGGGAACGCCTTTTCTGCCGCTGATCCTCCGGAGAAGCGCGCTGTAACTGGGAGTCGGGGTGACCGAGCTCTGTAGAAAGGTCGTTCGCCTGTCGCCGGGTGTACGAGTATCACTGCTGTCTGTGTGGAATTCAATACGTGCGTTCGCCGTCGAGTGGCATCTACCAGGCCGTCCTGCCTGCAGCGCCCACCCAGTGCGCTGTGCGTCCCCCGGTCCGGCCGCCTCCTCCCTCCCGCCTCCCTCCCGCCGACAGCCCGTCTGTGGGCTCGTGCCGCGGATTATCACGTGCACTCGGAGCCGGTCTCGGACAGCTCGGGCCGGCTGCATTCCGTGCATACTGAGAGGGCGAGCTCGGCCGGCATACTGAACGCCGCGGCCTCCTTTTCCACCTGCGCTCTGCCCCACTGAGCGCGGGACTCGACCGGGCTGGTCAGTGGTCAGTGGTCAGCGCCGGCCTGGCTCCGATTGGGTCCTCCGGGGTTGGAGCTCCTTGAATATCTGCGCCAGACGGCCCAGACCCCGGGCACCTCGGCATTGACTGCACTTGCAGAGTGCAGGTGGTTCAACCGGGTGGGGTGAACTGTGGAGCGGTTCGGCCTGAGGCGCCCACCCAGGTCAGATATGAAGCAGCGTGGGTCTGCCGGAGGCCGCGCAGTCTAGAGCTGCAGACAGCACTACGCTGGTTTAGTGGACGTTAGGCAGATCGTTTACACCAGCTGCAGAGGTTGCAGTGGGGAGTTGTTCCTCGTATCGTACACAACAGAAGAGGTTGTTAGAGACCAGAGTCACGCAGCCGTCGAATTCACGCAGGCTTAGCACTTCAGTGTAGGTCTCGTACTCAGAATTAAGAATAGCATCGACAGGCAATCGCACATGCCTGTGACTGCAGCGAGTAAAATAAGTGGATTTGTTTGTCTGCTGCTGCTAGTCCTCCCGTTCCGCCGTCCTCAGTAGTCCTGCCGAGCTCCTCTCCATTCCTCCTGTGTCCGTCCGCGGCCGGCTGCGGGTCATTCACCGCCGGTCGCTCTCGGTCCGCGCCATTCACAGTCCGCAGCTCACCGTCCGGAGCCGCTGAACGCCACCTGTCCTTGAGCGGCGCACCGGGCCGGGCCGGCCTGTTTTCCGCCGCCGCGCCGCCACGGGACGGAGCCGGCGATTTTGTCCGGCCGCGGCTGCAAAACAGAGGGCCGGCCGACCGGTCCGGCCGCGCCGCGCCGCCACGGGCAGATTCCGCGATACTGGCAGCGGCCGCGGCGGCCGGTGTCCGGCGGTGACGCGCCAATAGAGCGAGCGGCGCCGCCCGAGGAGGCCGCGCCGCCGCCCGCGTCCGCCGCCCGCGCGCCGTGCCGTGACGTGATCTGTGCCGTGCAGTGACGGGACGTGACGTGTGCTGCTTCAGGTGTCCGCCGAGGCCACAGAAAATATCCCGACGCGCCGCAAGAGCGTCGGACCGAAGCCGGCGACTAACCCGATGAAGTTTGTGGCTGCGGGACCGGCACCTCTACTACGGACCGCCTCCGAACAGATGCTCAAGGCTGAGAAACTCAGGATGGCCGCCAAGACAGCCGTCAAAGAGGAGGAGAGCGCCGCCTGGCAAAACGTGAGTACCCTCGGGTAGGGGAGTCCGGGCGGGGTGGGACTCGCTGGCGTGTCTGGTGTTACTTTTAGTTCGGCATTGAGGTCTCCAGATATGTAGTTAGTTTGTTCTTGTTTATCTTTTTCCTAAGTGCGTCCTGGCCTTTGTTTGGCCCCATTTCATCGTGGTCGCTACAAGAGTTTTGTTTATTGTTCAGGTTTTTTCCCAATGGATCCGTCTGGCTCTGTACTGTGCCTATGGCCGTGAGACTGGGGCAGTAGAGCCGGAATATTTCCTGGCTGAGCCGCAGTCGGACAGGGGTGCATGGCCGACCTGCCGGGGCCGCGACCTTGGCCGCTGCCTGGGAGAAGGGCTGCAGAAGCGTGGGAGCGCCGAGTGGACGGTCATCGTGATGAGGCGGGAGTGGGCCGGGAGCCGCCGACCGGGACGCTGATTCGGGTCAATTTGCACGGCCGGCCGCGGTGCGGCGGGGACGGAGGGCCGAGAGGTGTCAGTCGGAGTGATGGCGGCTGTCACAGGGACCGTGAGGGTCTGTCATGAACCGGCAGGGCCTGTCAGCAGCCAGTCGCCAGGTGCCGTCCAGGGCTCCTGGAAGCCGCGGGTCTGGAGCGGGGTGAGGTGTCCCTCAATGTCAGAGCCACTCGCTGTGGAGGGGCGGCGCGACCCTGGACGTATCCAGGCCCCGGTTAATTCGCACATAAATTGCCGGAGCGCCGTCAGTAAGGGGAAACGTTTACCACGGGAAGCCCGGCGTAGCCTTGACGGCGTGTTAAAGATCTGTCAGGGTGCTCGGCTGAAGGCCACATATAATTTGACCGTGTTTGGAGCACTCTGTCTCGGAAGCAGCCGGAAGGCCGAGTCATACTCGCAGGCGGAAATCTCCCACGGTCCTTAACTGCCCTCTGCTAGATGATTAGTTGACAAAATGTCAGGTATGGTTAATGGTAGCATTGTTGATAGACTGAGATCGAGATAACTTCACGAAGAGTATCACTCGATTAGCACGAATCACATAATTTTGCTCAAATCATGCCCTGTGTGTGAGTCCCTACTTAGGGGTACACTGTGTTTGTGTATGACCTCGCGTGACCCGGTGGGGTGGGCGTTATCGGACAGCCCTCCCCTGCCGGAGCTGTGGCCGGCTGTCTGGTATGTCTGGCGAACAGAGTTCTGTCGCGGGTGGGACGGTCCCCTATCAAACCTATCACACTCGACCCCAGCCGCGGCGGTGACCGTTCTCACCTGGCTGAGAGGGCCGAGGGACGGGAGGATGGACCGATAGGGGAGATAGAGTGGGGAGGAGGGTATCGCCGCAGGGGAGGAGAGGGTAAAGCGATAAAGGCGGATCAGCCGATGTGGAGAGTGAGCCTTTCGTGCGAGTACTGAGTATCTTGTGGATGGGCTGATACCAGATATGAAAGCTAGGGATGAGGACATCCCGGTCGGGCTGACCACACCTCACACTCGACCCCAGGTGAGGAGCGGTTCGGAGGCGTGGACTGGCCGATACCGGACCCGTCCCTGTGGCTCCGGTCGGGTCGGGTGCGGTCGGCCGGTCGGACCGGGGAGATCCGATCTCGCTGTTTGGCTGCCCGGTCGCCGCCGCAGGCTCCCACACCCGGCTGCGTCGAAAGCGGCGCGGTGACGCTTTTTGTGGCTGCTGGGCGCCGGCGCGGCTCCGAGGAGACTCTCACTGGGCTGCGGAGTGGTCCGGTGGGTCATATAACGCCGCCGTTTGGGTCATATAACCCCGTCGGTCGGGTCCCGGCACACACACGCACCTGCCGGGTCGCTCGCTGACCCGCCCGCCCTCCAGGACGGTCCGGCGGTGACTCACCATGTCCGGCGGTCAGAAGCACCGATCGACCGCCCGGTACCGTGCCGGTGACAGCCCGCGCTCCGGCCTACGCCACAGGTTGCCGATGCCGACGCTGGCTGGGCTCGGTTATACTGCTCGTCTGCTACTGGGATTGCTGGGACGGTGGCCGATCCGCCGGCCTGTGGTTTTGTCAGTCCACAGTGGGTTGGTGGGGCACCCAGTCACCGCTCACTGCTCAGTGCTGTCACAGAGCCGAACAGTTTATCGAGCGGAACAGCTTCGAACCTAGCGATCTAACGATCAACTGGCAATACGTTTCCAGTCGTTTACCGGCCTCTGTTGAGACCCATGTAGCTCTCTCGGCCGCATAATAGCTCACTTAGTTCGGTATATGTGGCTGTGTTGAGCATTCCGTTCCGTTTCGCTCGGCCCCGTTCCGTTCCGGCCCGTTCCAGCCGGCGCGTCGTGCGGTCGACTGCCGCGCGGCGGTGGTCTCACAATGTCGCTGGGCGCAGTCTCGGGGAGCGCCGGGGCCCGGCTGGACCTCCGTGCTACCCGCCCTGCCGACGGCCTCGGCTGAGCTGCGATACAGCCAATATCGACCCTAGGCAGCCCTACAGTGATCTGTGCTCGGTGCTCATCGTGCTGCCACGCTACGTTCTGCGTGTAGTCAGCTGTGCCGCCGCGCCCTGTCCGCTCACGTGGTCTGAACCTGCCGTGTGCCGCCGGTTCAGCGCCCCGCCCCGTGCTCCGGTGCTCCCGTGTTCCCGCTCTCGGCACGGGAACCCACCACGCCGCGCAGGCCGGAAGTTCACGGGGCGGTGCCGCCGCGGGCCGGGCTGTAATTCGAGCGCGGCCGACTGACGGCCCGTCACGTGAGCTCGCCCCCGCCCGACGACCCCGGCGGGCCCCCGGGCGTCCAGTGGGGTGCCGGGCGCCGCGGCGCAGTCCACAGCCGCCCGGGACGCTGTGCTGTGCTGAACTGAGCTGAGCTGAGCAGTGTGGAACTGTGTGGAGCGACGCCTAACTAGTTAGTCGCTGGATGCTGGAAGTTTCTATCTCGACAAGTGACGGCTGCACGCTGTTGTATTTGAAAAGTGCTGGTGCCAGTTGCTGCGCTGCTGTGTTTGAGCATTACTGCTGACAGGCGGCTCGGACGGTTTGTTTGAAAAGCGCCGCTGGCCGTGGTCCGTCTGCGTGTGCTGAGGGCGAGAAAGTGTCGCCAGGTGCGGAGCAGGCGGCGGCGATGTAAATTGGTGGCGAGCGGCGCCCCACAGACTGTCCTGCCGGCGGTGGTGATAGCGGAGGAGCGGCACCGGCGGTCGGAGACGCCACTCCAGACGTTAGGGAGGCGCCGGCGATATCCAGAGAAGCAGTATTTGGCGAGTGAGAGTGCGGAGGAATGGTGGCAGGCTGTGAGCAGTGGAAGGCTGTGAGAAGCGCTCTTTCTGTGGACTGTGACAAGTGGTCCAACCTAGCTGCTGAAGATTGGGCCGAGTGAGCTTCGTTGTGGACCACAGCAGCAGTGATCACACGGCGTTCGTTCCTGACCGCGACTGGAGTCGGTGGTGCGATCTCTTGTGCGACTGAGGAGTCGAAACTCGGCTGTGATGGATTCTGACGCGGCGATGGACCCCCGTCTCCAGGGCGACTACAAGAAGTTTTTGTTTTATAAGCGGCTGCACCGCTGGAGCCATGGCCACGAGGTGGAGGTGAGGTGGGGACGCTGGTGATGGGGAGTGTCACAATGTTATCCTCTGGTTTCGGTGTCACAGATGTCAGTGAGTGCGGCTCGTAATTCGACAAGCCGTAGTAATTTTGAGCTCTAGCTGATGTCTTACGATAGGTGGACGGTCTATACGACAATGGCCGATGCCCTGATGTGCAGAGACGACCATGCGGCATCTGTATGTGGCACTGTCCAGTGTCCAGTGTCCACTGCCCAGCCTAACGGACGATGCGGTAGATGCAGAAGGGTCGTCCGGCCGCCGCACTGCTGATGGTATCGCTGGCTCTGCAGTCCAGAGGAGGCTCCAGGTCGTTGCCACGGAGTTCCGTTCGTTTTTCCCTCAGCGGGTCGATCCACCTTGTGATGTCCGCAGCAGACTGTGCTCCGTTGAGCGTGAGCGAGGAGCGCTTCTGCCCTGAGCGGTGGACCTTCACGCTCTGGAGCTGTGGCGCTGGCTGGGTAGTTTTGCTCCGCTGTGGTGAGCTGACTGCTGTGCCAGCCCAGCGCCGGGGCCACTGTTGGCCGGTGCTGTGAGCCACTAACCCAGCTCTGGTGCATGCCGTTCGTGCCGACGACTCGTGTTGCAACAGACGAGAGTCAATCGTGCCTCAGCATGTCATGTAATCCTCCGAGTCAAGTTACTACGCCGTGACATTTAACAATGTGCAAGGGAATCACCGTTCCTTTGCAGTGTGCTCTGTGCTCCAAAGTCGCGCCACGTGCCCCAAGCCCTGTTTGATTTTTAGACATCATAATCACATCAAGAACTCTGAGACCTTGCTAAGTCCGTTTGTTATTCCCTTGTCGCTCTGCTATCAGGTGCTCCTCAAACTTCGCCCACCTGTCGCATTTCATCATCAAAAGCATCCAGTGGAAAGTGAACAAACCACTCCATAATTGTGAGAGCTCCTCTATGCTGTCAATCATCGTTCGGTGCTGATTAACTCTGATGGCCGCTCGTCACGGCTCCCCGAACCGGAGTGGCCCGGAGCGGCCCGGAATGGCCGGGAGCAGTCCGGACGGCCCGGAATGGCCCGGAGCAGTCCGACTCCGGACGGCCCGGAATGGCCCGGGGCGGTCCACACGGGAGCTCTTTAATCATACATGGCTGGGCGGCGGTCGGCGCAAGCGCAGGGACCCAGTCTTTGGCGCCGGTTCATGACGCTAATGCCGCTCCATGGAGGGGAATGTCGCGCAGTTTGGCGTGCCGCCGAACTGCGCCGTTCGTTGGTCGAGTGCCGGATTTTGCTGGACGCGGCGGGGACCCGGTGCACCCGACCGTAGAGAGCACAGCTGGTGCACGGGCGCGGTCAGGGGTCAGCTGAGGGGTCATTGTCTCATCTGCACAACAACGGTCCGCACGTCACTTAGCTGACATCGGGTGTCTGCTAGCTACTGACTGGAACCGGGGCAGTGGCGCAACAGCCCGTCACATGGCTGAGATACTGTGCCGAGTAATTGCGGCTTTTCTTCTGCTGCAGTGCCGTAATTGTCTCCCCCGTGCGTGTTTTTCTTCCTTTCTCCCCGTGTGACAGTTGCGCCGCGCCGATTTCAACGGTAAGCCTTGCGGCGCAGTATACCTTCAGGCGTCTACTGCTGGTGCCATCTGGTGACTGAATATCGAACTGTGTCAACACGAGAGTTTGACCGACGACTGACCGCCGGTCGTGTTTCGCCGACAGAACCTGGACAACTGGAAGTCGTCGCGCAGGAAGCGGCAGGAGGACGTCATCGAGCGGCTGACGGAGGTGAAGAAGATGGAGGAGGACGTGGGCGGCTCGCGGCGCCGCAACAAAACCTTCGGCGAGATGATGCAGGACCGAGGCGGGTGAGTGGACGCGGGGGAACGGGAGGGAACCGGCTAAACAACAACGCCTCTGTTCCACGTACACTGCTGTAAAATGTGTATTTCTGTGTGTATGTCACGCTGATAGTGGTTATAATTTTACATTACATGCATGACGTGTGCTCCTCCGTTTTCCTCCACCTTTTTGTGTGCATCTACAATTACGATAAAATCTCATATTGTGCCTGGATACGGTACGTTTAGTTCGGCCCGCTGACTCGCACTGAATTTGCTGACCTCACCACTAAAGTCGTGTATTGGCCGTGTGCTCGGACCCTGCAATGAGCCCCGCTCAGTCGTCGGACGCGGCCCACTGACTCAGACAGATGGTGAGGTGTTTGTCGCCCGAGTCCCTTTCACCGCAGCGCGTCACCCTTTCCGCTACACCACAGCCTTGAGGTTGAGGAAACGCGCCCCAAAAATCGTCCCGACTCCTGTAAATAACGCCCGGCCGGCCCTCCTTCCTCCGACTTTTATGGCCCACCGCATCGGCCGATGTTTTGCAGGTCGGTCGGGCGCTGGTAAATGTGCCGGTGGGTGGCATTGTCCTCCGTTTGCGCCCGGTCCCCGGCTGCCCCCGTTTCTGGGAGCTGGCGTGCAGGAAGGTGTGATCCGTCCTCGTTCCACCAAGGTTATGGATGTTCTGTGGACCGGCGGCCGGTCACGCCACTCGCTGGTAGGCCTGTGGCACCGAGCGGCTGGACCGACCCGGCTCCGAAACCGACCAGTCGCGTCCGGGCGACCGCGCCGCAGCGACCCCTGCCGCGCGCTGCAGTGACCGCGCTGCAGTGACCCGTGCCGCAGCGACCCGTGCCGCGCGCTGTAGGGACCCCCGCCGCAGTGACCCGTGCCGCAGCGACTCGTGCCGCGCGCTGCAGTGCCGCGCGCTGTAGGGACCCCCGCCGCAGTGAGCCGTGCCGCAGTGACCCGTGCCGCGCGGTACAGTGACCTGTGCAGTGACCCATGCCGCGCGGTACAGTGACCTGTGCAGTTACCCGCACAGCCCGTCTCCCCGCTGCCTGGTCAGTATGAGAGGTGCGCCGGTATTTGGCCGCCGTTAGCGGTGTTTGCGGTATGCGGTCCGTTCACCCTCCTTGTTATCCTCCTGTCGGTGTCCTGTGGTAGGAAAGTGGCGGCGTCGCTCCGTTATCCAGCCATGCAGGAGTGAATTGTGTTTCATTGGAGCTGTCCCTTTATGTGCGTCATTTCAGTACGAGCCTGGTGTCCATGGTCTCACTCCATGCTGCTGGGTCCCGTCTCTAACCCCCGCTCCCTGTTCGCTCTGCAGGAAGGGCCGGCGCGTGCTGCAAGTATTCACTGACGACGATAACGACATCAGTAGTCTGCTGAGCGCCAAATCACCCACCTCCAGCGACACAAAGTCCGACCTGGGCTTCGCCACCAGTTCCGACACGGGCAGCGAGCCCAGCGACCAACAGGTGGGTCACGGAGGTCACTAAGGTCAGGTCACTAAGGTCACCATACGGGCAGCGATCTTAGCGACCAACAGGTGGGTCACGGAGGTCATACAGGTCAGGTCACTGGGGTCACGGTACAGGCAGCGAGCCCAGCGACCAGCGGGTGGGTCACGGAGGGCACAGAGGTCAGGTCACTGAGGTCACGGTACAGGCAGCGAGCCCAGCGACCAACAGGTGGGTCACTGAGGTCACAGAGGTCAGGTCACTGAGGTCACGGTACAGGCAGCGAGCCCAGCGACCAACAGGTGGGTCACGGAGGTCACTAAGGTCAGGTCACTGAGGTCACGGTACAGGCAGCGAGCCCAGCGACCAACAGGTGGGTCACGGAGGTCACTGAGGTCATGTCACTGGGGCCACGGTACAGGCAGTGAGCCCAGAGACCAACAGGTGGGTCACTGAGAGCACAGAGGTCACACAGGTCAGGTTACAGAGGTCGGATCACGTGGATCACAGAGGTCACACAAGGTCAGGTCAGTGGACCGATTCACTTGCGGTAATTTTTGTAGGGTAGTTGCATTCCTTCCATCAAGTATTGGACTATACCCGATACATGTGGGTAACGCCTCACGAAGGCTGGTTGGGTGGGTCACAATTCGCTCAGGTCAAAGAGTCGCAGAGGTCAAACCGCTGGGTCACTAGGCATAGCAGTCAAGCCAAGTTCAAGTGGTTTGATTACAGGTCACAGTTCAGCATACATAAATAGTTATTTTCAAATGATTATCTTAAACCTAAACATAGACCCTGTCTGTGTGCCTAGGAAGCACACAACACATTGAGCAGTGAGCACTGATCAGAGAAGGTCAAGTGGCCGTGTGGGTTGGTATATCGTGGGCTGGTCAGCTTAGTGTCAGATCCGGCTGTAACCTTATCACAACACGGTGGCTTTGTGTCGCGGGGCGACCTGCGGTATGTCGCCGCCGACAATCGGTGTCTGTGGCGGCACCTGCACGGGCAACAGAGCACGGAATGTGACCGGCCGCCTCCCGGTGACCTCTGCAGCGGGGCTCCCGTAGGTGGCTCGGCAGAGCGGTCACCGCACTCAGACAGATTATTGTATGTACTGTTTATTGGACTTTGTACAACACACATGAGCGGGGAATACAGTACATCACGGGGAACAAGGCTATCCAAGAGCCAAAAAGAATTACAACCTTCCTTAGCATTGATGAAGATTGAAGCCATCGCGTTGATTGTCGTTATTGTGAACATAATGGACAACACGGTGTCGCATGCCCATATTTTTGCTCTTTTTACCAAAGTCCCTAGTTATGACTCACATGCTATGTGTGAATAGGTCTAGGATGTGTAATTGTGTGGTGCGCGTGTGCGTGTGCACTGTGCATGTTTCCCTGTATGTAGTTCCGTGAGCGACGTTTGCACGCCAGCACAACCGGTGTGAGCGGGCAATGAGGGCCGCTGGCCGCGTGGTGCGCTGATTGGGTCGTATTAGTGCTCCAGTTTCCCCAGAATACCGGCCGGTCTGTGTAATCCACTTGTTCCAACATTAGCCCCGCCGAGTCGCCGTTCCTCCGCCTGAACGGGTGTTATTTTCAGACTCCGGGAAGTCTGGCCCAGGATCACGCTTATCATTTCAAACCAGTAATTTTGTTGAAAGTATCCGTAGTATACGGGATCAGTGAACACACATTTGGCGCTGGGTTTCACCAAAGTGGCGTCTGTAGCAGGCCCCAGTGGCCACAGTTGCGGAACAGTGCCGGTTTCACCCCGGCGGCCACCGAAATGTTGTGCAATTTTCCATAATACCGCGGTAATACTGCCGGGGCTGGGACGCGGCCGGTCTCCCAATCCGACGGGCCCGTGGGAGCGCTGTGGTGACGTCATAGGACACCGGCCCGGCGCCGCGCGGATGTGCTTTACCTGGGAGCTGCGTGATGCGCCCATTGGAGACGGCTGTGGCGCCGCCGGCCGCGCTCAGGTGGCTGTGTTGACACACAAACGAATGGTGGGAAAAGTCGTGACGACCGCCCACCGCCCGCCGCCCACCGCCCACCACCCACCGCCCACCGCCCACCACCCACCGCCCACCGTCCTCACCCAACGGCCACGGCCCTCACCCTCCGCTACCGCCCACCACCCACCATCTACCGTCTCACCGCTTACTTGTCGAGCGCCTCTCACGCCGTGGAGGTGCTGCTTGCGCCTTGTAAGTACGAGTGCGGGTCCGAGTCGGTAAATCCCTCTTTTGGTCACAGTCACGCACACAAACACGCTGCTCACGTGATCGCTTCTGCCGCTGACCCGACTGGTAGTTCCCGCCGACCCCGCCAGATGTCGGGCCGGTCGGCGGCCGCCCTGACCTGGCAGATGGCAGTGCCGTCGCCGCCGTCCTGGAAACCCAATCAGCTGGTGCACCAGGTCGCGTGATCGGCCTTCAGTGCCGATCGGAGGGGAGGGCCTGTGCCCAGACTCGGCGAGCGGCGGTGAGTCAGAAGCTCCGTACGGCGGGCGGACCGGCGCGCTACCAAACAGGCAGCCAGTGCCGGGGCCGTGCAGCTCGAGCTGTGTGTGCGCGCGGGTGGCGGCGGCTCGCGTGTTCCTCCGTCGCGCCGGGTGGCTCCAGCAGAAGGCAGGGCGGTCCATTGGAGCCAGAGGTAAGCACGGGCCGGATGCAGCGCCGGTATTTTTGTGTTCATTTGGCCCAGAAACAATGCTCGACAAAGGGCATTGTCTTCGGGAGTCGGCCGGTGCGCCGTGACCATGCACCAGACGTGCTCCAGTTTGTTTTCATGCCGCAGAATTTTAACCCGACTTGGCGTTTGTAGGTGCAGGCTCGATTCCTTGCCTTTTTCTGCTGACTGCTGCGGTGTGTCGCATATGCCTTCAGCATAGCGCTGCGTGTTGCGTAAGAGTCGAAAAACCCACACTTACGACCACCTCTGTCATTAATTTGATGGCCGGTAATTTAGCCGGTCTCCGCCCATGGTCCGGTGCGAGATGAGCCGAGGCCCGGGCCCGCCCCTCGTCAAAACGGAATCTAAATGCCGCCACTGGCGTTTCGTGCGGAGGTCAGGCGCGCGTCGTTCGGGCGAAGCGGCACGACACGACCCGCGGGGTTTCGTCCGGGCGGAGACGCGGTGCGTGGTGGCACACCTGGCTGCCGGGGTCGGGTCGGGTTATTAGATATGCTACGGCGCCGCCGAGCGACCGTGGCTGCCCGGCCTATCCGTCCTCACAAGGTCACCGGTGGCGTCCTGTGACGAGTCTCCGGGAGGCGACAGGGCTGCCGCTCATCACAAGTCAGCGAGAGCCGGCTGCCTTCAACGGGCGCACACTGATGAGTGAAGGGCGCCGCCGATATTCAGGTGTCCTCGCCTGGTTAAACGAAGGTCGGCGGCGCGCTGCATATCGTCCCGGATCGGCCGGGACCGGGCGCCGAACACGAGCGGACAGCTCTGTCGCCGAGCAGCGGTCCCCTCTGGTGACACGGTCCTCATGCAGTAGCCGGTCTCATTACCCGCTGACCGGCAGCGGGGTCCGCTCCCGTCACCATTTCGGCCGAACATCCATATTAATCCGGGCCGAGTCCGCTCAACGGCCGAGGTTTCGCCTATGAACTGGCCGGTGACGCGGTGACGCGGCTATGGATCACGCCGTTTCCCCGGGCGACATGGCGACCCTCGGCGGTGAACGCACGGTGCCAGTCACGTGCCGACACCGGTCAGCTGGCTAAATGCCCCGAGGGGCGAGGGGTGCAGGTGTCGCCATCCCGTCCACCGCCACTAGCACGTGAAGCCAACGATAGGCCGACCGTCGGCTGACGGCTGGCAGCTGAAGACAGGGTGACCGCCCGACCGGTGACCTTAGAGTTGGCAGCAGAAGGGTGAGACCGTGAGGTGTCCTCTAGGTGACAATGCCAACCGTTCTGTGAGGGCGGAAGGGATCGCCAAGACAGCTGGCAAAGTGACTCTCCGTCGAGAGTGCTGTTGGCCTGTCTCCCACTCTCACGCGCGGATCCTTCAATGAGCCCATAACCAACTGTCATTCTGGGGAAACTGAATGAATAGCAGCTTATTGCTTTTAATGGAGATGTTTATCGCTCAGCTTCCAATTAAATTGCCGTTTACCTCTGTCCTAAGGCATGTATTCGTCTGATTAGAGACTATAAACCAACTAGTCTTTTGTTTTGCAAATGAGTTTCATGAGCTCGCGGAAGTGCTGGGTCAAGTAATTCGTCTTCTGTTACTTGCTATACCTAAGTCCTAAACTACGCTTAGTGATATTTTTACCGGGGCGATTCAGGACCAGCTCACAGAAGTGGTCATCCTCGACGTTTATTCCCTCCGTCTTTTGGGCCTTTTTTCTCCATCTCACGCCGTACGCCACCTCGAAGCGTGCTGGTTACGTGAGGTTTACAATTCCGAGGCGACAGTTGTCCTCCGAACTGCTGTCGGACGCTGTTGAACACGCCGGTCGATCGGCAGAAGCGTGCCGAGGAGCCCCACTGGTTTGTAAGCCGGCGCTAAGCCGCCCGTTTTTACTTTGCCGGCCGATCGTGACACACGGCGTATTCCGGTGGTGAAGTGGCCCGGCTCTCTGCTGCCGACGGCAGGCTGCACCAGGTGGCCACGTTCGCCGCGGAATTAGACCCATGGCCAGGGAATTCTGAGCTTTATACGCTCATCATGCGTGAAGGAACATGCATGTCTGTTTTCGACAGATTTTTATCAGCTAGCTGCATTACGTCACGTCTACGTGTCCTCACGATATTTTCCTCTCTTCACCTCATAAACAGAAGTCTGTCGGCTGTGTACGATTGGCTCTCTGTATCCCTCGAAACCCACCACCGCACCTGATCTTCACTCACGATCACGCCTCGGTTAGAGGTCAGCCAATCACTGGGGTGCTGGGAGGTGCTGCCGAGCCGCCGCCGGCTGACAGTCCCCTCAGACTGTCAGTCAGAACACACAGAACACGGGCAGAACACCGAGCACGGAGCGGGCGCCGGATACAGGGGGGGAGGGCGCGGTCGGGTCGGGTTTTTGTTCGCCACGGGGCCGGGACTGGCCCCAGCGCCACCCTAGAGGCTCGCAGAACGTGTCTGGCATTCGAGGGCCTCAGCAGTGTGGCGGAACTGAGAGGAGTGGGAGTGAGTGTGACTGAGTTGAGTGGATGGAGTTAAAGTGGAGTGAGTAGATCGTTTTGAGTGTGCGAACGCCGAACAAGTGGGAGCTGTGTTGGGCTGTGTTGTAATGTGAATTCATCCAGTCACCATGAGTGGCTGTATGTGTGTGACTGAGCGGGTAAGAGCCACGTCGGATTGTTGGTCTTCACGATGTTCTTTTTTCATGGTGGCGTTACTAATGTGTTTCACTAACCCTCTAAAACTTCAACAGGACTAGAGTATATCGTAGCAACTTTTTGTGTAGCCACTTTGAGCCCTTTTTGTGGAGTTTTGGTCGGTGTGTTTTGCTGCCATTTTGCGTAGTCTCGTGCCTGTGTGACCGCGCCCTGGGACGGCGCCGCGTCCCGCCCCGACTAACCGACCCCGCCCGGTCTGGCCGTCACAGGAGCCGGACAAGTGCGCTGCCTCGCCCACCTCTGGTGAACCGAACGGCCACGACAGCGGCACTGAGGAGTTCACCTACGAGTCGGCCATCCAGGGCTACATGAAGTTCGCCGAGAAGACGGCGGCCACGGCCCGCCTGCCGCCGCCCGAGACGCCCTCGCCGTCCCTGTCGCCGGTGGACTCGTCTCGGCGCCGCGAGCCCAGTCCGCGCGCCGCCTCACCCATGGAGAAGTCCGAGGTGCGCCCGGCCCCGTACACAGCCCCGGCACCGGCCGCGCCCGCCGTAGCGCCCGTGAAGACGGGACGCCCGTCGGTGGTGCTGAGGGAGAAGAAGGCCAAGGTGGACGTGCTGAAACGCCGCTCGATGTTTGAGCAGCGCAGCGGCAGCGAGGAGCGTTCGCCGCTCGCGCAGCGCCGCCAGCAGCGCAAGTCGATGGACCTGAGCGACGGCCTGCGCCACCGGATCGCCTCTCTGGAGACAGTGAGCGGCGCCGGCGGCGACGAGGCGCGCTGGCGGCCGCAGGGCGGCAAGGGCGACCAGTTCCGACAGAAGCTGGCCATGTTCAACACGCTGGAGAACAGCCGCGAGGCCACGGCCGACCGGCGCGGCCCGGTCGAGATCCCGCGTCAGAAGAGCGCCTCGGACCTGCGCTCGCGGTTCGAGCGGATGGCCTCCGAGCAGACGGCCGAGCCGGCCGAGCGGCCGCGCAGCTCTCTGGAGCGGCCCAGCGAGCCGGAGGGCGGTCACTGGCGGCACGCCTCGCTGGACGCGCGCCGCTCTCTGGACGCCGACCGGCGGCCGGAGGGCGCCGAGACGGAGACCCGCTCCCTGGAGACGGCCGCCCGGCAGCCGCCCAAGGTGGTGTCGGCCGTGCCGCCGGCCGCCGCCGTGGAGCGGCCCGCCGAGCCGGAGCCGGCCCCGGCCGCCAGTCCGGAGCCCGAGCCGGAGCCGGAGCCGGAGTCCTGGGAGCCGACACCGGCGCCGCTGACCAACGGGCACAGTGCGAGCCCGGCGGCCGAGCCGGCGCGCGCGGCGCCCGTGCCTTTGGTGAGGAGCAGCGTGCCGGCCGCCCCCGCCCCCGCCCCCGCCCCCGCTGCGCACTCACAGCATGCCGCCCGTACTAACCGAGAGAGCCGCCCGGCGGCCGCCGAGGTGGAGGAGGTGATGGAGCGCGCCACCGTCCGTCGGCCCGTCCACACAGCCAACATGTACCGGCTGTTCGACCAGGTGGGTGGAGGGGCCGCGAGTTCCACACTCAACACCGTGCGCAGGTCGGATGTAATTACATAATTGCTGTAGAGTGTAGGTCTTCAGCCAATCAGATATGAAAAGTGCAAAAGAGATGCTCATTTTTAGCAACCTTCAGCCAATGCATTATTGCAATCCTCAATAATTTCATAATCATCGTCTCGTTTTGCAACCCCACAGCACTGTTATCACACAATCAAAGCGGCGTTTATGTTATTTTTCTATTTTTATCTGCCTCCCGGTCATTTTGTGACATCCAAACCCCGCTTTTCGGATGCCGATGGAGACATTGCGTGCCGCGTAATCTTCACGGGCGTGCCGCACGGGTAGCCCATTTGTGGCTAATTAGGTTGTCTTATTAGCGCCCTGACACCCCACCCCACTTCCCCTCCCCCCGGTCGGTGTGAGATCGTGCTCAATCCCGTCACGCGCGGGCCGCGGGGGGAGTGGTATCGGTAGGATTTCTGGCGATGTTTTATCTGAGAGTCGTGCTGCAGCCGATGCGCCGCCGAAAACAGCGTCCAACACGCCTCGCGCCGCGGATAAGGATGCTGTCGGGATGGCAGCTTTGACAGAACTCCGATAAAGACGGTTCTGGTAGACACGATTATGATAGGACGGTTGCAGCCTGCGCGGGGTGTGATAGCATCTGTGCAGAGGCAGTGATAGTACCGTCAGGCAGTCAGTAGGACAGCGGCGCGGCTGGGTGCTCGGGTCTCCTGTCTGCCGGGTGGGGTCGATCACGTGCCGGTACAGTCGAGGGCACCTCACCTACTCGGGACCGTAAGTCGTCCACGACAGCAGTGAGTGACATGGTTCACCCCCGCGAGACCCCGCGTACCGGCTCACTGGCTGGTCCCTCCGGCCCCGCCCCGCCGCAGCGCTATGTGACGTCACGATGACGTCACTCCGTCCGAGGTATGCCCTCCGCCGGCGACAGATAACGGCCCGGTCGGTCGTCTCTGTTTATTGGCGGTCTAACTAGCGCCGATGGGCAGAGCGCTGCAGTGCACTAACTGGTGTCAGATGAGCCGCCCGCCCGGCCGGAGGCTGCTGGCTGAACAGATACGAGTACAGCTTGCACGCGCTAATTGGGATTAGGGACATGGCCTTCGACTAACGAATCGCTGTTCCCTGCCAAAGTGAATGGCGATCGTGGGCTGGGGCTTAGGATGGCGCGCAGTAGCGTAGCTGGTGGCATGCACTAATCCCCTGAATGATTAACACTAATCCAACGCTCCTACTAATCACGCATGTACTTACTAACCCTGAACGATATCAACAGGCGTGATCATATGGCGAATGTCGTGACGCTGAAATGGTGTTGCAGGATTGCGATTCCGCGTAACGTTCATTATTGGTTTAATGTGTTACCTACACCTGGAATGTGACTTCATCAAATGAAGCAGACAGGTCCATTTTTATTGCAGTATTGAATATGAAGCCTTGCCTTGCGTTTGTACGTTTGTGATGTCCGTTCTGTTTACGGTAATTGATTGAGTGCAGAGTTACCGGCTGGTGGTTCACTCGCCGATGCCGTCTGTTGGTCATTTATCAGCAGCGGCGCTCGGCTCGTCATCAGCCGGGGGGGGGGGGGGAGTTGCCGTGCAGGTGGGGCTGTTTATTTACGCCGGCGGCCGGCGGCGCTCCGCCTCTCACGTGACCCGTGCCTCCTGCAGGCTGCGCCCGCCGCCGGCCCCGAGACCAGTGCGAGCAAACCGGCCGGCTGGGCGCCCGTGGCCGCCGTGGGCTCCGCTCCGGCGCCCTACTCGGCTCCCGCGGCGGCGCCCGCTCCGGTGGCGGCTCCGGCTCCGGCCACACGCAGCGCCATGTCTGAGCCAGCTCCGGCTCCGGCCCCGGCTCCGGCTCCGGGCCCGGCGGCTGAGGAGGAGCCGGCCCAGGAGGCCCCTCCGGCGAAGGAGCAGGAGTCGGCGGTTCCGTCGTGGGAGGATCCGGCGACAGCCGTGGACGAGATGGAGGCCCAGATCCTCCGTCAACTGGAGGAGAGCGAGCGGTCCCAGGTGAGCTAGCAGGTCCAGAGCGATCCCCCGGGTGAGCTAACGGGTCCAGAGTGGTCCTGGTTAAGCGGGGGTGGGTGTCAGTAATGACGTCACCCCCAGGTGGGAGTCGGGGGGGGACAGTCTGTTAGCAGTTAATTCAGTGAAGAAAATATCTCTCTTGAGTCTTGAGTTAGCAAGTGTGGCAACTGCAGTGACTCAATCACCGATTCGTCGCAAGCTGTCGGCTCTTTCAGCTAGATGAACAGCTTGATCTTTATGCGTGAGCAGCGAACGCATTAATTAGTCACTTTGCGTGAATGCTGAGGTGCTGCAAGGCGTAGCATAGATCGTATTTTTGGCAGTAGTTAACCCCGGTTGACTGCGCACGTGTCACCTAAATCAAAGCTAGTAGATGTACATGAATCATGCGAACTGTGTACATTCACGTCCTTGCTGGTTATTTACGACAACCGTTGATAAATTAGTAGGTATGAAGCTTTCTGTGTGGCACCCCATAATTCTCCCGTAAATCTGGCTCGTTTAATGGCGGGCACAGGGCGCGTATATCACCGGTAAGTGCGCCCAGCCTCGCCTCCCTTCATCCGTCGCCGAGCGATGACTAACGAGTATCCCTCTGTTGACAGATGGTCGCTGATGTGCCGGTGGTGCTCGACTTTCCGCTGCAGCCGTCCGCGGCGGCCCCGCCCAGTGAGAAGCCTCCGCCGCCGCCACCAGAGGACGACGACGAGCCCGTGGTACGTCAGCGCGAGGCTGGAAATGGAGCAGGGGTACCTGAGCGCTCGGCTGGGGGCTGTGAGAGGAAGCCCGTGGTACGTTCGCGGTGCGCTGGTACATACAGCGTACACAGCGGACCGCTTGGCTAGGGAGTCAGGGCGACCCGGCGAGCAACGGAGGGGTGGTTAACGTGTGTGCTCGGCTGGGTGGCAGTGGGGGAGGGACAGCGCTCAGCTGGGGAGGGGCGGTTTACGTGTGTGCTCGACTGGAGGTGGTGGGGAAGGATGTGCGCTCAGCTGGGGAGGGGCGGTTTACGTGTGCGCTCGGCTGGGTGGCAGTGTGAGAGGGACGGGCGCTCAGCTGGGAGGGACGGTTTACGTGCGCGCCCGGCTGGGGGCGGCGGAGGGTGAGGAGGTGGCAGACAGTGCAGTGGCGACATGTCCCCAGGGAGGGGAGTTGCAGCGGTCAGCGTAGACCAGCTTCACGCTACATCGGCTCCCACTGAGAGTCGATGTACCGCGGAGGCTGGCGATCCGTTAGAAATGTGGCGAGACGGTGTGACTGACCACGGGTTATACAAGAGCTGTCATTCGCCACTTGTTTTTTGGGCAGGGGACTACTTCCCGTGAGCTGCGTAGGCCCACTCCACTCTCTTACCGTGCGTAGGTCGGTCACTCGGCGCGCCGACGGGCAGTATTTCCTCGGAACCCCGAACTAACGTTTGTGGTGTGTGTGGTTCCGTTATAGTGTACGGTGAGAGGGCACGTCCCGACTGCGGTGCAGTGACCCTTCGGTCGGCACTCCCGCTGTACCGCAGCTTTACCGTGTCATACCGTGCCTGCTCCGCGCGACATACGCAGGTGCGGCCGGGGGCTGAGTGCCCATTGTCCTGCGCGAGGAAAGGCTCCTCCCTGGCATTGTTACCCATCATAGTGCGGTTAAAGTGATGACCCGGACTCGGGGGCCATATGAAGCTGTCCATAGCAGCTCTTTGTTTTTGCCGTGCGGAAACTGTTCAACATCGACACGGGATGGAATTCTGCGGTCAAATGCCTGACGTTCCTTGACGCTTCAGTCTTTTTAGCCTAACTGGCACGCTATCGGTCTGCGTTTTCTCACGAAGAGCTGTCATTGTGTTTGATAGTGACATTAGCGGTCACAAAGAGGGAAACTGATGGACGGATGGACGGCCGTCGACATACCACGGCTCGATCGACACACGCCATGTCAGCGGCGGCCTTGTCAGTAACCAGATTACATGACTGCTGTCAGCGGACTGGCAGCCACTGTGCGGCTTCATGTCCCGGTCAGCAGGCACCCCGTCCCCTCCTCGGGTCCGACCGGTCCGCCGCCGGGCGAGGCTGGCTGAGTGTGTGCCCGGCGTGACTGGTGCGCTGTGGAGCGGGGTTTGTTGGCCAGTGATCGGGAGCTACACGATGTCGGTAGCTGAACTGAGTTGTAACTACAGATCGGTGAGCAGTGGTACGGGTCGCCATCGCGCGTACGATGTGTATGTGATGTTTGTTGGACCCTTTTCTCACTCAGCCCGGTTCTGTTTCAGGAGATTCGACCGGTCAAGTCGACGAGCTCCGTGAAGAAGGACCTGTACCGCCGCCGCTCCGACTTCCTTGGCATCCAGGGCAGCGCCGAACAAGGTGGGTAGCAGCGCGCGACCCCGTGTTACACGGCGCAGCTGTAGACAGGGGCTTGGTCGGGCCACAGGCGTTCCCTACACACGCTATCGGGCTTTAACCCGTAGTACGCCGCCGCGCTGGCGTGATGTCATTGGTACACACCAGTGAGTGCTGTGGATGCATCCACCAGTGGTCGGATTGAATCGGTTACACGCCACTGGTTGTAGGTAGCAGCTGCGCAGCGCTGGTTTTTCCACCCTCTGTACCAGTGTTAGCTGTAGGAGGTGGGCTTACAATATCAGTAGCTCACGTCGAGCCTATGCCAAGCCAGTCGCTCGCTTGGTACCCTGTTTTAACCCTCGCCCGTATAGGGGAGGGGGTCGAACGGACCCCCCCCCCCCATGGTGTTTCGCGAATAACTCGCGTAAAAAGCGGCCGATCGCGACGAAACTTTCAGTACCCTCGCGTTAATCAATTTTACACCTACCCTGAAAATTTAATGACCCTGACCCCAATGACCTTTGACCTGTGACCTACTTTTCGAGACCATGTTTGGCCGGAATCGCGATTCGGCGTATGTCGGCTCGCATTAGCCGCGCGTTTGCAGTCTTTTCGTGGTTTCAAGCGTTCTTACATGTGATATGATGTTGCCCCCATGCATTAGGGTGGATGTCAAGGTCACCTGAAGGTCAGGTCAGGTCATTGACCTTTGGTGACCTCGGTTCACTTTTTCGAGTTTCACATGTTTCTTGGCCAGTTTTTGGAGCTGAATTCGAATTTAGCAACCATATGAACATTTACGAAGTAGTCTTGGTGCCTTCGTAGCATGTTACGAGGCTGTCAGAGGCGGTTGACACCTACTACAAATACCCGGCAGGACCACTACTGGTTGACCTGACCTGACCTGACCCGACCTGGACTAAATGCATAAAGACATCATCTGTGATCAAAACTAACATGATATTCATGATCAGCGCCCCGAAAAAACCCCATAGCAGCCACACTACGACGTTCTAACCAGGGATGCGGAGCCGGAGCCGGAGTCGGAGCCGGAGCCGCCGGAGCCGGCATATTTTGCCCGGAGCCGGAGCCGGAGCCGGAGCCGTGAAACAATATAGCCCGGAGCCGGAGCCGGAGCCGGAGCCGCCAAAAAAGGGGGCGACTCCGGCTCCTTTTTATTTTTTGAAGAGGAAAAAAAATAATTGACCTAGTTCGGTTTGACAGTGCAAGGCAGTAAAACATATGGTACTTACGTCATGGGCCATCAAGTGAATGAAAAAATCCGAATATCCCCAGTATCCCACAGTACGCAAACAACTTCCTGTTTGCTCTTCCCCCCCCCCCCCCACGTCTACTGCATCCCCAGAACATGAGGACCAGTCATCAGGTGACGGCCATTGTTTTCAAACCAGTGCAGTGGACTGCGACTCCCAGCACCGTCTCATCCCACACACCCCCCACCCCTCCCCCCCCCCAATGCAGCCGAGACGGGTGTCAGCTTACGATGGTTCACTGAACTCCGATTCGCGGCGACTGCGTTTCCAATGCCATCGCTTCCTAGCCCTTTGTTCTGCCAGTTCTCTCCGAGGTGCGTTTGCGCGGGGACGCGGTGAGCCGGTCATGGCAAAGAGCCAATCTCTTTATAACCGTATAACCGTATATAAAGCGTATAACCAACCGTATAACCGTATATAAAGCGACTATTAAAGCGTATAACCAATCCAATTTTTCTTCCACCCGTATTTAATTGATTGCGTAGGGGATTTACTGAGTCGGAGCCGGAGCCGCCGGAGCCGGAGCCGCCGGAGCCGGACCATTTTACTCGGAGCCGGAGCCGGAGCCGGAGCCGCCATAACATTTCACCCGGAGCCGGAGCCGGAGCCGGAGCCGATTTTTTTCTCCGGAGCCGGAGCCGGAGCCGGAGCCGTCTGAAATTTCCACGGCTCCGCATCCCTGGTTCTAACAGGTCCCGATTTTCCGACTTTTGGATCATTGACCTGACCTGCAAGGTCAACCAATGACCTAGGACCTTAAAATTAGGTATCATCGGCTTCCTCTCGTCACGGGCAACACGCTCGTTTTTTCCGCGAAGCTCTAGCTCGATCAGGGGCGAAACGGCAAGGGGGGGGGGTCCAACGGACCCCCCCCCCCCTTATACGTTCGCGGCTGGAAAAACACCAATACGGGCGAGGGTTAAACTGCCTCGTGGCGACCAACAAACCACACAGCGTTCGAGTTCATTGGCCAGTGGATCTGCCAACAGCCGCCGATTCACCGACCGTGCAGGACAGGTGCCTCTCGTTTATGTTAATCGCCGAGAGGTATTACATTCAATCTTGTTCTCCGACTACCTAGCAAGTGACCACTCAATCAGTGACGTCAGCCACTTCTCGCCATTCGGATGCAGTAATTGTATATAATTAGCTCCGCCAATGGCTGCATTGTGATTTAATAAGCAATCCTCCAAGGAAGTATTACCTCATTATTTAGACCTTTATTATTATGCCCAATCGTGTGGTGAAAGCACTGCAATTTTAGTTTATTTATGTGGTCTTTGCGCAAATAAATATTATCTTCCCGTTTCAATCCATTTTTGCCCTTCTGCGAGCTTTGTCCTCTTCGGTTCTGACAAGCCGTCCCCATCTTGGATCACCTGATTCCATCTGACACCCACTCCCCTCGCCCACAGAGCCGGTGCCGACGGTGGCCCGGCCGCCCGACATGGAGTCGCTGCTGCGCCAGGAGCGCGCCGCCCAGCAGGAGCAGGAGCGCCGCCGGCAGGCGCAGGAGACGGCGCGCCGGCGCGAGCAGGCGCGCCAGGAGTCGCTGCGCCAGGCCGAGGAGGAGGCTGAGACCCGTGCAGAGGAGTTCCGCCGCCGCGCTCAGCAGGAGAAGGAGCAGCGCGCGCAGGAGCGCCGCGCCCTGGAGCTGCAGCAGGAGCAGGAGCGGCTCCAGGAGCAGGAGCGACAGCGGCAGCAGCAGGAGCATGAGCGACTGGCCGAGCAGCAGCGGCAGAAACAGGAACAGGAGCGGCAGCAGGAGCAGGAGCGTCTGCAGAAGGAGCAGGAGCGGCTGCAGCAGGAGCGGCGCGCCCAGGAGGAGCGGGAGCAGGAGTGGCGGCGGCGGAGCGCTCCGGCTCCTGCTCCGGCTCAGGAGCGGTGGGCGCAGGAGTCGCTGTCCGACCAGGAGCGCGAGTGGCGCCGCCGCAAGGAGCGCCTCTCCGAGGAGGAGGTGGACCGTCAGGAGCGCGAGATAATGGAGAGCCTGGAGAAGGAGGAGAACTGGAGGCACAGCCAACAGATGAGATACCGTGAGTGGGTAACGCTAATAGTCTGCGGGCGGGGGGACTGAGGGCTAACCACTGGCGGGCAGAGGAGATACCGCGAGTGAGTCGATATGGCGGGGCAGGGCGGGGGTGGGTGGGATGGGGTTGGAAGTGACTAGTAGATGTGATACCGCGAAATGGCAGATAGGGCAGGGCAGGGCGGGTTGGGATGGGATTGGGCGGGTGACCTCGCCATGGTCAGGTGTGACCGATAGTCGGTACTTATGACACCTCCGGACTTGGAGGTGCACTTGTGCCACTGATAGCGTGACTTTAAAGGGGTGGTGTTAGTCATATGTGCTATCGTATCGCATCCGTGCTGTATTTAATTCGTTGATAGTAACGTACTCAAGTGTGTGTATCGTCTCATTCAAGGTTGTAAAGTGAAGTCCTAGGCCGCTTGACTGAGGGTGATTGTTCTCTGCTGATGCGGGTGAGCAGTTAGTAATCCCTTGTTGATACGTTATCCACGAGTAGGCCTCTGTCTGTGCTCGGACACGAGCTGTCTCACGGTCTGCCGCGGGACGTGTCCGTCTGCTGACGCTGCCGTCTGTCCGTCTGCTGACGGTGCCGTCTGTCCGTCTACTGACGGTGCCGTCTGTCCGTCTACTGACGCTGCCGTCTGTCCGTCTGCTGACGGTGCCGTCTGTCCGTCTACTGACGGTGCCGTCTGTCCGTCTGCTGACGGTGCCGTCTGTCCGTCTGCTGACGGTGCCGTCTGTCCGTCTACTGACGGTGCCGTCTGTCCGTCTGCTGACGGTGCCGTCTGTCCGTCTACTGACGGTGCCGTCTGTCCGTCTACTGACGCTGCCGTCTGTCCGTCTACTGACGGTGCCGTCTGTCCGTCTGCCGCAGAGTCCCGACTGGCGCGCCGCCAGGCCTCAGACCAGCAGTGGCAGCGCACCCAGGAGTGTCCGCCGGGCGGCGGCCCGGGCGCTCAGTCCGACCTGCTGGCCAGTCGGCACCAGGCGCGCTCCAACCCCAACCTGCTGCACGAGGCGCCCGGTCCGAGCGCGCTGGTGCCGTCCCGCAGTCACGGCGACCTGCAGGCGCCGGCCGGCGGCGGCCCGCTGCAGCAGAGCCGCAGCCACGGCCGGCTGTACGACACGGAGCCGGCGCCGGCGCCGACCGCGCGCCGGCCGGCCCGGCCCGGCGGACACCCGGCCCATGGCGCCCCGGCGCCGGCCCCCGCCCCGGCCCCGGCCCCGGCGCCGGCCAAGCCGCAGCGAGTCGAGCAGGAGGTGCGGGCGCCGCGGCCATCCAGCGCGCGGTCCCAGCACCCGCAGCCGAGCCCCTCACCCACGGACGGCGGTCCCGGCCAGATGACCCGCACCACGCTGCACGCGCTGTCGGCGGCGCCGCGCTCCAACCTGCGGCAGGAGTGGATGCCGCGCAAACGGGCCGACGCGCCGCGCAACACCGACCAGCACTGGCTGATCCAGGTGAGAATCGGCCGGCGGCCGCTGAGAGGGCCGGGATCCAGGTGAGAAACGGCCGGCGGCTGCTGAGGGGGGCCGGGATCCAGGGTATATTGAATTAGGCCGGCCGCCGGGGTCGGATTTTACGAGAAATCGGCGAGCTGACCGCACGTTCTGGTCCTGTATTGGTCGTTGTTGGATACTGTATGAGCCATGAGGCTAAGTTCATTCAATCTTCCCCAGGAGGCTGAGCAGCGGAGGATCAGTGAGCAGCAAGAGCGCTCCTCCCGGCAGAAGCACCATCCACCGGCGCCCTACCAGGCACCGCGGGCGCCGGCGCCAGTCCAGCACCCGGCTCAGCACCCCGCTCAGCACCCGGCGCAGCACCCCGCGCAGCACCTGGCGCAGCACCCAGCGCAGCACCACCAGCACCCAGTGCCGCAGCAGTACCCCGCCTACTACACCCAGCAGCCCATCTACGAGAACACGCCGGCGCAACTCAATAGCAACAACTACCAGGACATCAGCACGGTCCGGTGAGCGGCGGGCGGCCGACCGCAGGCCGGCGAGCTCACAGGGTCTCACTGCCCACCTCAGGGGAGCCCACAGGGCGGGGCCGTCTTACTGCCGACATCAGGGAACCCTACAGGGCGGACCGGTCTCACTGCCCACCTCAGGGGACCCTACAGGGCGGGGCGGTCTCACTGCCGACCCCAGGGGACCCTACCTACAGGGCGGACCGGTCTAACTGCCGACCTCAGGGGAGCTCACAGGGTGGGGCAGTCTCTCACTGCCCACCTCAGGGGACCCTACAGGGCTGGCCGGTCTCACTGCCCACCTCAGGGGACCCTACAGGGCTGGCCGGTCTCACCGCAGACCTCAGGCCGGGGAGCCCACAGGGCGGCTCTGTCTCTGACTCTCTGCTGGCTGTTCTGGGTGGAATCATGTAGCTACTGTTGTTATGCATGACATTCCAACCTAACCTAGCCTAACCTAACCTATTTAGAGTGAGCGCTGTGAAGTTATGACATTTCCCTGGAACGTACTCTGTTTGCGGCTATGACTGAAAGGTGATTTAATATCTCACCAAGCGCAGAATTTCTATGCTCACGCTGTATGCAGGCTATAGCATCTAGTCGTATTGGTCTATCACGGACCAGCTCTGGTTCAATACGATTATCTCTCATACCCACTGCACTGCCACCACCCCCCATTCAGCGCTGTAACCGGTGCGCTGTACTGTATTGCAGGCCAAACTACGGCACACAGGTGTACCACAGTCCTGACATGCGGTCACCGCAGCCGGAGCCGGCCCAGAGCCCCGAGGACCGCGTGCTCAGCGTTAGTGGCCGGAAAAAGTGCTCCCACTGCGGCGAGGAGCTCGGTACGTACACACTGGGGCGGCACTGGGGACCCAGTTTGTTAGCCGGTATGACGCCATTGGAGAGATACTGCTTAGCTTGGTGTCACTGGAACATACATGCTTGGGTTATATGTGTAATTCATGGAGATATGGGTTTGTCCATGTCGGTTTATGTAATATTTGAGCTCGGTGCGATTGCTGGAGAGGAAAGTGCTTCGTAGGAGGAAATCTGAGCGAAATTGCCCTCCATGGAAGCGGTAATGACGCATTGATTATCTGGGAAAGGGAGTGTTGGTAAACACGGGCATTGTGTCATGAAACTGCATTTCCCTTAATCGAGTCGTTAATTATGAAAGATGCATGAGGATTGGGGAGACATTGTTATGAAGTAATTAACGTGTCGTGAAGGGATGGTACATCAGCTACACCAACATTAGCCATTGCGGTGGTATGTTGACGGATGTGAGCCGCCGGCTGACTGTCCCCCCTGAGGCGCCCCTGTCCGGTTCGCGCCGCCCCGTCACAGACGGCTCCCTCTCTCCTGCTCTCTCCGTCTGACACCGCCGCTCTTCCCGTCAGGTCGGGGCGCCGCCATGATTATCGAGAGTCTGCGCCTCTTCTACCACATCAACTGCTTCAAGTGCTGTGTCTGTAACGTGCAGCTGGGTAACGGCTCGATGGGCGCCGACGTGCGGGTGCGGAACAACAAGCTGCACTGTCACGACTGCTACTCAAATGACGAGGGTGAGTGAATGGGAGCCACTGCACTGTCACGACTGCTACTCAAATGACGAGGGTGAGTGAATGGGAGCCACTGCACTGTCATGACTGCTACTCAAATGACGAGGGTGAGTGGCCCGCGGGACGGCCAGGGAGGGAGGACACTGGATGAGTAAGGGGGGGGGGGGGGTAAAGGTGAAGTTTTACCTGTTTTGGTGAAAATAAACGCAGTCAACCCATTTCCTTACGCTCACGTGCGTCAAAACTAGTTGTTCTTGTCCGTGGCTGCCCATTTCAACCATAACTGTAGCTTGCTTGGGCGAGCGAAACTTGTTGACTGCTGTGTATAATAGGATGAATTTATGGTGAGAATAAGAAGATTTGGTAATGACGAATCAGCTACGGAAACAAATGAAATAGTCATATCGTCAATCGTGAATGATTGCCGTTTGACGAATGCCTATCAGGGTCAGAGAAAATTGCATGACTGGACTTTTCCCGGTGAATTACCTGAGTGTGGTCTTATATCTGGCAGAAGCAGTTTTAGGTAGATGGTGTCTTAGATTGTTATGTACTGACTAACGCTCCCTGCCCCTCTCTTTCGCAGGCCTCAAGTTCAGTAAAGTGTAGCTGCGTGCCTGCGCCGCCTGTCGTTAGGGTGTGTTTAAATACGTCACAACTGGACGCAATAAGTGGCAGATACCTGTGTGCACATGTCTCTGCCCTGGAGTGCGCCCGCCGCGGTCGCTGAAGTGCCTAGTTTTACTGCGAGCGATGTCCGTTGTTATAGTGTAGTGACCAGTCGGTTTTCTCGGCTCGGTGATGCGCCGAGTGACGTGTATAGAGCAGGGGTCACCGGGCGCCCGCTCAGCTGCGCGTGCGCCGCGCCCGAGCGGAGAGCCGGCACGCACGGGCCGCCACGCCCAGATATCTACCAAGTAACCGTGCTCCCCCGAGTCACACGCCCGGTTTTATTTGATCACGCGCTGATAGCAGTTTGAGATTATTTTATGTAGTGATTGACGATGTAACAATGATTATTGTCGAGAGTTTGATAACATGTAAGAGACGATTGGCTGAATAAACGACGGGATTGATTGTCCAAACTCTGTTTTATTCCCTGATCTTCGATTGATAAGGTGACGCCCATCGCATACAAGCATCTACGCAATAAAGAGGTATAAAAATACCAACATTTCACACGACCAATTCCGTAACAGCTCAATTCCAAACACGCACTTGACGCCTGGGCACGTTCAGGAAGGCAGTGGACAGCTATAAATCACCGACCATATTCATTGGTCTCAACCAAATTCATTGGTCTCGACAACCAGCCTTGCATCGGCCAATGCCCGGCGCCTCAAACACAACATATTCGCTCTGGTTCGCCGCATTATACACTCTCACCAGCTCGCGATTCCACCGAGCTCTCACCCGCCCAGTGCCGGACGCCGTCAGTCGCGCTTTTCCCGAGCGGCGTCCATGGCTAGCGCCGTGACGGCCACGCGGCGCGTCACGCCGTCACCCACTGCCGTCACGGGCACGGGCGTCACGACGCATAGCGGCCCGCGGACCGAGAGCGCCGCCTCCGCCACCGCCGCGCCGTCCTCCACGCTGGGGGCGAGGGTCAGATGTTAGAGGAGGGAAGCTGTCACAGGTGCAGGAAGGGAGGGTAGGAATAAATATTCACGGCGAATAAAAACAATATCGGGGCATTGTAGATATGCAACAGCAGTGGTCAAAGTAAACAGCAGTCCAGCAGGGTGTGGAAAAATCAATGCAAAAAAACGTAGTCATCGAGATCTATGATGCTGCTGCGATGACGAGAAAAGCCTCAGAAGGTAGATGACAACCAACTCCGCTGTCTGTCCATCAATTTTAGCCCCATTCACATGCCCATCCTCAACCACTCCCCGTTACTGGCTGTTCTGCGGAGCACCCTGGGCTCAAGATGGATTGAGTAATCATCTAACCAATGAAATACCCGGAGGTGGCAGACAGCCCCCTGTCCGATCCCTCTCCCTTCTCACCAGTGGAACACCCGGAGGTGGCAGACAGCCCCCTGTTCGGCCCCGCTCCCCTGTTCGGCCCAGCTCCCCCTCACCAATGGAACACCCGGAGGTGGCAGACAGTGGGGGTGGTGCCTCTGGACGACTGGACTACCAGGAGTACAGAGCGAAGTACGCCGACACCCACCTACAGCCCGGACATCGCCTGGAGGAAGAAGGCAACCTACGACCGGACACCGGACCAGGGGGGGCCGCGGGTTTTCGGTCGCGGGGCGCGGGCTGGCCCACCTCGCCTCGCTGATTCTCCGGGCCGGCGACATAGAAGAAAACCCCGGGCCCCGCTACCCCTGCGGAGTGTGCGGCAAAGGAGTCGGCCACACGTCGGTGAGTTGCCGCGCGTGTGAACGATGGCATCACCACCGCTGCGCCGGCCTGACACGAGCCGACATCAGCCGCCTCGCTAGGGAGCGGGGTCCCTGGACCTGCCCTGGATGCGCGGCGATGCCCCCCGCGCCCCCGAGACCGCGGACCTCGGCCACACCTACTCAGTCACCACCGTCGCCACCACCGACGACGAATGCCCAGCAACCGCCACGGACACCGGTGAGGAGGGACGACCCACAGCCGCCACCGCCACTGGCGATGAGTGACTCACCACTGCCGCCACCGACACCGGCGAGGAGCGAAGAACGTCAGCCGTCTCCACCACCGATGAGGAGCGACGAGTCTCGCATAGCCACACACCCGCGGACGCAGGCGTCCGAAAACCGCGGCGAGCAGAGCGAACTGAAGATACTGCAGCTGAACTGCAATGGCCTCGCCGCCCGCCTCACTGAGCTCAACAAACGCCTGGCAGATAGCAAGCCTCAAGTTGTCCTACTACAAGAGACCAAGTTAATGCAACAGGACGACGACCCTCGCTTCCCGGGATACAATGTGGCGGCCAGAAGAGACACCCCGAACTTCCAAGCACCGCCGCCGCTTCCGTCACCAACGCCGCCGTCGCCGCCGCCGTCGCCACCGCCGCCACCGGCCGGCTGGACTTGTAAGCGCCGGGATCGACGCGCGCCCCACACGTGGTGCGCCGGCTGCAGAGCTAAGCGTGGATGCACCCAGAGGGCCCAGCCCCCCGCGCCAGGCCCAGTAGCGGCGCCACCCAGCAGGAGTGCGCCACGTCGAACCGGAGGGGGGCAAAGGGGCAAGGGCGGGGTAATCACCCTCGTCCGTGAGGACCTGCCCTACACCCGCGACCCGGCAGCCTACACACCACGGGAAGAGGACCAGCTCAGCTACGTGGCGGCGACCAAAATTCACCCTCATGGCGTGCCTGCGATTACGGTCTGGAACGTCTATGTCCCGCCGGCGAGGTGGGCTCCTGGACAGGGCACCCAGGCGCAGTCCTTCCAGCCAGACGGTCTGCCCCTGGTGCCCTACACAATCGTGGGCGGGGACCTGAACGCGCACGCCGTAACATGGGACCCTCACCAGCCGGAGGACCCGCTCGGGAGAATCGTCGAGGAGTGGAGCTGCGACACGTCGCTCACGATCCTGAACGACGGCTCTGCGACAAGGATGAACCCTGCCACAGGAGGATCCTCCGCCCCAGACGTGACGCTGGTGTCTGGTGAACTGGCGAGCGACGCAACATGGACGACGAGCGTAGGAATCGGGTCCGACCACCTCCCGATCACCATCACCATCCCCACCGCACCACCGAAACCTGTCAGAAGAGGCAGAGGCCGACCAGCCTACAGGAAGGCAAACTGGGAGGAGTTCCGACGCGCCTACGACCAGCTGGCACTAAGGTGGGCTACCCAGGCAGAACCTCTCACCGTCACGCAGCTGGACCGACGCTTCTCCTCGACCATCCTCAGGGCAGCGAAGCAGGCGATCCCGTACGGGAACGGCGGGAAGACTAGAGCTCCCTTCTGGAACTCAGCCTGTGACGCAGCAGTCCAGGCCAGGGACGCGGCCAGGAGGAGAGCCACCGCCCAGGACCGCACTGCAGAGGACATCCGCGCCTACGGAGAAGCGAGGAGAGAAGCCGAACGGGTGATCAGGGACGAGAAGACTGCTTTCCTGAGGGACAAGATCGCCGAACTGGGACCAAACCAGGATATGTGGGGCCTAATACGCGCCCTGGACGGCCGGAAGCCACCGGCCAAGCCCGCCGAACCCCTGCAACGCCCGACCCTGCCTGGTCATCCCGCCCCTGCCCGGCCAGCGACCACAGACAAGGAGAAGGCCAACGCGCTCTGCCAGGCCTATGCCGCGGTGTCGCGCATCCCGTCGGGCAAGACGGCTGACCGACCTATCAAGCTGGAGGCGCGCGCCGCGGTGAGGGGATGCAGCTGCGGCGGATCACGAGCCGGCATGTGCAGCCCCTTCTCCATGGCTGAACTGGAAACAGCGCTGACCAAGATTAAAGCTGGCAAGAGCCCAGGGCCAGACAAGGTGGCCAACGACCTGCTGAAGCAGCTGAGCCCACTCGGCAAGCGCCACTTCCTGGACCTCCTGAACAGGACGTGGTCCGCTGCCGACGTGCCTGCCTCCTGGAAGGTAGCGGAGATAGTGGCGATCCCGAAGAAGGGAAAGCCGCCGTCGGAACTGTCCTCCTATCGCCCCATCAGCCTACTGAGCAGCACCAGTAAGCTGGCGGAGCGGCTGGTGCAGGGGAGGCTGCAGCACTGGCTCGAAACCAGCGGGAAACTAAACCGAAACCAGGCGGGCTTCAGACGCGGCCACTCCACGATGGACCAGATCGGACGGATTACCCAGCAGACCTTCGACGCCTTCGAGCAGAAGCCACCACACAGGGCCGTGCTTGTCCTCCTGGACTTCGCCCGCGCCTATGACCGGGTCTGGAGGGCAGCCCTCTTCTGCAAGATGGCGCGACTGGGCATCCCCGGCTGTGTGATCCGCTGGATCAAGGCCCTGCTCTCCGACCGCCGTGCTAGAGTCCGATGGGGAGCTGCCCAGTCGGACTCGCGTGTCTTCAAGGAGGGCCTCCCGCAAGGTAGTGTCTTGGCACCCCTCCTATGGCTCATCTACGTCAATGACATCGACGAGGGCCTACCGGAGGGCGTGTCGCGATCCCTGTTCGCGGACGACGTGGCGCTACTGGCCGACGCCCGCACGCCGGAAGAGTGCGACGCCCACCTCCAGCCGTGTCTGGACAGCATCGGCGCTTGGCTGACGCGGTGGAAGGTGACGCCCAGCGTCTCCAAGTGCACGAGCACCCTCTTCTCGCTCGACCCCAAACAACAGAGAGGAAGAGTCCGGCCAAATCTGAAGCTCCACGGACAGGAGATCACCGCCACCGAACACCCGACCTTCCTCGGCATCAAGTTCGATCCGCAGCTGACCTTTGCTGAACACGTCTCCGATCTGAAGGCGAAGATGGCCCGACGACGACGATGTCTGCAGGCGATGGCAGGAAAGACATGGGGCAGCCACCGTCGCACTCTCCGGACCGCCTACATCGGCTACGTGCGAGCGCTGTTTGACTACGGCGCCGCCGTAGTTGGCACACATGCAGCGCCGTCCGTCAGGGAGCGACTGGAGGCCGAACAGAACAAGTGTGCTCGCCTCATCACCGGCTGCATCCGTCTGACTCGCACGGACGCCCTGCTCGCCGAAGCCGACCTCCCGCCACTGTCGTTGCGCGCGAAGCAGCTGGCCGGACAGGAGTGCCAGCGCCTCGCCAGACTCCCCGCACTCGATCCTGCCAGGACCCTCCTGGAGAAGGAGGTGCGGCCCCGGCTGGAGTACCGAGCCCACCTGGCCTGGCGGAGAGACTGCACGCAGGCAGAGGCGGCGCGGAGGCCGCCACCGAAGCCGCCCGACGAGGACGCGGTGCTCACCAAGAAGCCGTGTCTCAGGCGGGTGGGCCGGTGGATCGCCGACGAAGCCGGGCTAAAGCAGCTGCCGACTGAACCACTGGCGTTGTACCAGTGCCGGCCGCCCTGGACAGTGGAGAGGACCCCCGCCCACTTTGTGGTGGACCTGCCCGCGCCCACGCGTCGCACAGACCCCCCCGACAAGCGCAGAGAGGCGGCGCTCCGGGCCATAGAGCTCCTGCCGCCCGCAGACGTCACCATCTGGTCGGACGGGTCGGCGAGAGAGGGGACGACATGTGGCGGCGCGGGCGCGCTGATCCAGCTCCACTGCCTTGGCCGTGAGGAACGTATCAGGGCCCCGGCCGGCGCAGTGTGCAGCAGCCTGCGTGCCGAGCTTACCGCCATCAGGGAAGCACTGGCTGTGATAACCTCTCTACCTGAAGAAGACCGGGAGTCCGTCCGCGCAGTCCGCCTTTTAACCGACTCCAAGTCCGGCCTGCAGCAGCTCCAGAGGGGACCGGCCGGCCAGGTGACCGCCCTGGCCGCCGACATCTGGGAGTGCCTACACACCCTCAGCGAGCGTGGCACCACCGTCACCTTCCAGTGGGTGCCGGGGCATGCTGGCCTGGACGGAAACGAACACGCCGACCAGCTGGCCGGCGAAGCGGCCGCTGCGGAGCAGCCGGACGTCCAGATCGACTTCGCCAGCGCCAGAAGCGCGATCGGGCGCCGGGTGGGGACGATGGTCGACGCGAGAACAAGAGCGTCCCACCCCCACCCGGCGCCCACACCGGGCCACAACGACCTGTCCCGCTGGGAGGCATGTACCCTCTCCCAGCTGCGGACGGGCGCATCGCCGCTCACGCGGGACGTCGCCCACCGCCTAGGCCTGGCGGTGGACGCGGCTTGCCCTGCGTGCGGCGAGCCGGACGGCGCGGCCCACCTGCTGACCGACTGTCCGGCCTACGAGGCTGCGCGGCGCCGCCGCTGGGGACTCAACCCGAGCCTGGGGGACGTCCTCGGCGGACCGGCGCCGTTGGTGATTGAATTCATCCGGGCTGTCGGGCGGACCGACCCTCCGGTCGACCCGCCTGCGCCGTCGTCCCCCTAGGGGGGCGACGGGTGAGGTGCAAAAGAAGAAGAAGAAGGTGGCAGACAGCCTCCTGTCCGGCCCCGCTCCCCTGCCCGGCTCCCCTCCCCGCTCCCATCTCACCAGTGGAACACCCGGAAGTGGCAGACAGCGCCCTGTCCGGCCTTGCTGCGCAGACAGCCGACGGTGGAGCGCAGACAGCCGGTCAGCTGTCCGGCAGACAGCCGTCCGTCCCCGCCCGCCGAGCAGAGGACTGTGGCTGCAGAGAGTCGGTGCGCACCGCTCCAGCGCAGCGAGACGTCCATGGCGGCTCCGTCCAGCTCCAGACTCGACTGGCGGCCTGAGGAGGGGAGGGGGAGTCAGAAGGGACAGGAAGGCCGCTCCGTCCAGCTCCAGACTCGAGTGACCGCCTGAGAAAGGGGGCGGGGGTCAGGGGAGACAAGAGGGGCGGCTCCGTCCAGCTCCAGACTCGAGTGACCGCCTGAGGAGGGGGGAGTCAAAAAGGGCCTTTCCGTCCAGCAGTCCAGACTCCAGACTCGACGGGTGGCCTGAAGGGGGCGAAGGAGTCAGAGAGGCCTGAATAAGAGCGCGTCTGGGAGCGGGACGGAAAACGGGCGCTGCTGGGACAGAACACAGTTGAGAAGCCTCAGCACTATATGCCAGCGCCAGTACAATAAGGAAGCTATGACCATTCTGGCCTCTTCAACAGGAGCATAGTAGCGGAGCACGGGTGTTCAAACTGTTGCTCCAAGACTAGGTACCGCATGACACTGCCATCCAGTCAAGCATGGCACCTTAAATGCATAGATTGTAAATATGGAATGTTTCAGAACAAATCAGGAATCCAAATAAGGATTACATCGGCCACTGACGTTAATACATTGAGTACGACGTACATCACTATTTTTAGACGCGCCGCAACACTGAGGCGGAAACTTGTTCAACACCTTTAATGCCGCTAATGAAGCTATTGAAGCCGATGGAACATGCTCTGACGCGGGCACAGGCACGTGAGAGTCGTGTATCCAATCTGATACCCCCGGACACACGAAAGCCTCACATAGTAACCTGTTCAGAACACTGATTTACAAAGGGAAAAGTCACCGGCTTAGCGAAGAGCACACACGCCAACCAGCAGAGACCGCACGAAAGAGGAACGCCTGACTCTGTCTCTTGTGATCGGTAATCCCTGCTGATCCCCAATTATCTAATTGTAACCGGTCATTGCATTTTGCAAACACTATGTGCTTCCTGCTCGTCTTGCCAAAAATGAGGTGGGGCTATATGCCCGTAACGAAATGACGAATGTCTCTGAAAACAAGCTGTTTAGACATGCCCTGTGCAGAGTGAGCATGTGTTCCAACTTCCAAGTATCCCTGTCATGACGAGCAAGCCTCACTTCACGTGCCTTTCACGTGTCTACTGTTAACCACACGTGTTTGGTCCACGACGTGTTTCCGCGCTCGTTAAACTTCACCAGCGAACTGGTGTCATCGGTATCACCCAGCTCTCCCATATCCTACAGCGAGGAGGAGAGCGTCCCGCAGCTACCCGCGACTAGTGTCACAAACATCGCCCAGTCTGTCTACACTGAGCCGGCATCGGTATGAAGCTCTACCACCAGCCGATTGATGTAACCCCAGCCCGTCGACGTCGATAGGCCAGACGCCATAGCTGCTGCCCATTGTAAAAGAAAGGGCGCTGACGCAAGGTGGACGCGGTTTACTTTGCCAGGTGCACCGGTAGTGACGAAAAACTCCCCATGTTCGCACAATCGCGCGGACCATCGGCGCCTCACAGGCGGGCCGCGTCCCAAACTCGAGCGTGCCTCGTTCGCCGGCTGTAAATATGTATACAGGTGCTTAGCATACGAGTGGATCGGGCTCGAAGAATGGTTATAGCCGGCTGGTTGATATTCAATCGCTGCTGGCAGGTGCGCCGTCAATGGTGAGTTATGTAACGGAAGGCCAGCCCCAGTCCGTGCCAGTGCCGGAAGGAACGGCTGAAGAAGGCCGAGGTACCGGCAATAGGCGAGTGTAACACTGAAACAGTTTTCCCCGAGCGCGGTTCACCGAAACCATACGGGTTCCGATCCACCGAATTTTACACTGGATATTACAGCTGCCGTTGAGAAAATGTGGAAAAGATGGCGAAAATGTGATATAATTTTGAGGGTGAGAGCTAAAAAACGGTCTTGAACTTCATCAGCCCACACAATACTGTCATCGAAACCCATTAGCTCTAAAACTTACGTCACATTTTTACTTTACACTCATATATATATATATATATATATATATATATATATATATATATATATATATATATATATATATATATATATATATATATATATATATATATATATATTATATATATATATATATATTCGTGTAACGTCTGGGATTATGCTGCTACAGATACGAAGCTGCATTAGAGGAGTATATATATATATATATATATATATATATATATATATATATATATATATATATATATATATATATATATATATATATATATATATATATATATATATATATATATATATATATATATATATGTTACAGGCAATGTGTGGAATCAGGCATTCTATAGAATGCCTAGGCATTCTATAGAATGCCTGACCGACCAGGCATTCTATAGAATCCCTAGGTATTCTATAGAATCCCTGACTGCTTAGGCATTCTATAGAATGCCTGGCTTAAGCTCCCAGGCATTCTATAGAATGCCTAAGTATTTTGATTGTCCGAAACACACTTCGAAAATTAGGGGTCAATGGCAGTAATGCTAGGTATTTGTTTACCTAATTTTCATTGTTGGCCTAGGCCGGTCGTCACCTCACACCATTTCAGGGCAATGAGCTGAGAGGAAGCGAGGGAGGTATTGGGCTATGCCGACCACCAAATGGTGCGCCGCAAGCAGCAGCTGATTCAATTCCGTTGGCACGGGAGAGCCACGGCGCAAGGCACGCGGGAGAGTCACAGGCCAACCAGTCGCTTAAACGGTTACCCTCGGAGGATTATGCTGCTACAGATACGAAGCTGCATTAGAGGAGTGTTGGCTGGGAGGGTGGACCGTAGGCTTGAATCGAAAGTGATTGCGAATGACGATGGCTTTGTTCTGATGTTAGAAATGAAGGTGAAAAATACACCAAAGGTCACATTTTATGTCGTCATAAGCACTTCGTGTAACGACTCTCAATATACATACATGGACAGCTCAACCTACACCGTAATGTCAGGGAATAACCTGAATAAATGGTTCATTATTCCACGTCTGGGCGGTGGCCCGGCCGTAACAAGAGCCGGATTAGGTGTTGTTCGATCTCCCCTTCCAGCTTGACTTCTGGGCCATGCGGTATTCGAAAGGTCGTCAAAGACTCAAAATTATGAAATTTTACTTCAGTTCTTCTTTGGCAATGTTCGAAAGGGTGCCATTTCTAAAACAAATAGCTAAGCCATTTTTTAGGTCAGCCCAATTTTTGTCCATTTTTGGCTCGTAGCCGTTTTCTCCAGTTTGACCTTAAATCAATTCCTTAGAAGGCAAACACCTCCAAAAATGGACGATTTGTCAATTTTTTCTGTGTAATTTTTTTTACCAAAGGCGTTTCCGATATTGACATTACCATTTACCACCATCGTCTTTCTAGCGTTAAGATAAATACTCTGCACTCTCAGAATGAAATCCTGATACAATTTGACCTAATAAGGTCAGATTGAATACCTGACCGGAAAATTTGACTGAATGAACATTTGACTGAATGAACATAAATAGCTGAACGCAAGGTAGCCTGGCAGAAAATAATAATGTTACATGTCGGTCTGTGCTCATAATCTTATACAACATACACTTATATGTTGGAAAGATTCGTGTATTCCCTAGGCATTCTATAGAATGCCTGAAAATCAGGCATTCTTTAGAATGCCTAGGGATTCTATAGAATCCCTGGTGGGTCAGGCATTCTATAGAATACCTAGGGATTCTATGGAATGTCTGGTCGGTCAGGCATTCTATAGAATGCCTAGGCATTCTATAGAATGCCTGATTCCACACATTGCCTGTAACATATATATATATATATATATATATATATATATATATATATATATATATATATATATGTAAACCCGTGTTTACTGAAGGTGAACCGACATAATCAAAAGTGAAGAACATTACATTGTATTTAGCTTTAGGTTACATTTTAACAGAGCCAGGAGCACAACCTCACTCCTTGAGCTCTCGATCCAGACTCCCCGCCCACAGTCAGCCGAACACCTGCCGTGATCAGCTGAATGGGCGAAAACATAGTGCACCATGAGATGCTCCGATCGCGGCATCCGCTATATAAAACATTATACTAATTGATCAGTAAAGCCGCTGAGCATGAACAAGAGTGTTAACCATTCTAATAATATGCCGTACATAATAAAAACATTTAATTGCAGTATCTAGGACAGCTTCGAGTTCATACCTGAAGCAACAATTGAATAGCAGACGATCACGCGCAAAACCGTTGAATTAAATTCCTGTCCAGACATCATATGGTCACCGGGCTCCTCTCGCCGGTGAAACAGATAAACTTTAATCGGCGCAAAGCTTGCCGATTACACTTCTCCCTCCTTTGAATGAAAGGCGTGCACTTACATCTAGAAACACTCATTGACACATGCGATAACATCAGCAGTTGCAGCACGCGCCACGCGACACCATAACACCGTGGTCGCTAGATGATGCCTAGCAGCATCCGGCTGACTGACTGGCAGTCAGCAACAACGAAAAACACAAACACGTCATCGCACAGCATCGCTCACTTATCAACTAGCTAGCTGAACAGGTATGGCTATCCGTCAATGATGGCAATGGGTACCCTGGGTCCCATCCCAAACACAGGTTAACCAGACCATGCTATTTACATCCCATGCCATGATGCTCTGAACAGGCTGCTAGAGGGCTCCTACTCAAACTGAGTTTAATGACATTGACATGTCAATCAGAAACGTCCCCAGGGATTGACCGAATCTAGCTCGACGCGCACACTCTCTTTCCATAAAGAGTTAAACAAATCTATCGCACTCCGGCGCCAGGAGCCAACCGATTGTCTGCTGAGCTAATTAAAAGGAAAATCAGGGCGACTGGTTTTACGTTAATATGAGCGCACCTCTTACCTTTTAGAAGCATTCATGTTAAAACAGGCTGCCTACAAGCCTGGAACAAAGCGATCAGGCGGTCGAGTCCGTCGCTCGGACCGTCTGGCTGGCACCGGCGGCGGTACCTCAGACCGCGGGGGTACCGGTGGACACTCGGGTGTCGGCACCGCCATCTGAACTGTGCCGGACG